CACTGATCAAGTGGTTCTGGATTATTTTTGTCAGCCATGTTAATAAGTTCCCAGCCCTTTGTTAGCTATCGTTCCCCTCAGCAGAAGGAAATCTGTACCCATGTGTCATACAAAATATCACCTCAGCTTCACAAGGATGGTGGCACTGTGCTCAGGTGTTGGACCTGTACCAAAATACCTGAGCTGGAAGCATACTTTCCCTTCTGCTGGCTTCACTGTGGGGGAAGCAGAGTTAGATGGCATATCTAACTGATAAGCTATTTCAGTTCAGTTATGAACCTCAAGTGAAAAATGCAAAGTTAGCAAAGCACCTTCCATACCAAGCCTACAGCATGGCATAGTGTTTAGAATAGTCTATTTGGCACCAAAACTGGCTATTGCAGGAACAGTGACAGTAAAGGCAGTGGTGGTTTATCTGTTTCTTTTTTCCATGAACAATCAACAGTAAAATACTGATAACTGATCTTCTTCAGGACTAATCGTGTGAGAAGACACAACTGGTACAGACTGAATGCTAGCAGTTTATAAATCAGAACACCTCTGGAAAAAAACACCTTTCTCCTCCTTTCTTCCCTCTTCTCCAAAAGATCAATCATCTTCTACCATCAGCAAAAGCATGTACGAACAGCAGAAAGAGAGGAGACTCAGCATCAGAGTCTCTAAAGGACAAAAAATTCAACTGCTGCAAGTTTGGTTTTGAGGCTCTGAGGTGTTTTTGTTGTTTCTAGAAGCAGAATCACAGACATGCTGAGGCACCAAGAAGTAGGAAAATAAGCTGATACCTGAGCAAAGACAAAAGCTTCTTTGGCATTAAAATTGAACCACCTTTCAATATATGATTCATTATTTTGTTTTGCCTTTGGAATTTTTCCAATGATGAGTCCAAAAGTTCTTCAATTATAAGTTGTGGACAAAGCATCAGAGAGACCAACACTTCAGTTGTACAGCTTGGTCATAAAATGAAGTAGCTTCCTGATATTACAGTAGTGCAACTTGTAAATAGACTTAGTTTGTATTAATCTGCATAAAATGAAGACAAATGCATTTCTTGCTTGCAAGTCAATTGCAATTGGCAATTGCATCTCCCAGATGGAAAGATTTTTAAACTCTTTTGTATAGATTTGCACTTGACATGCAAACAGAGCTAAAATATTTCCTAACAGTGTTATTCAGGCTTCACAGTGTAAACCCCACTCCTTCCCACAGTTCTACCAACTGCCTGTTCCTTATATCTAGTGTGTACCCTCCCCGTCCCATCACAGTACTGCACAGGAAAAAAGATTAAAGAACAAAAGAAAAGATCAGGCACAGGAAAACAACATAACATTTATCAGCAAAGCATTGTAAAAGGCGCCAGATGCAAGGGAGCTCTAAAATGGGGCATGTTTAAATTGAAAGGAAAAAATAAAAGTGTAGCTAAAAAGAAAGGAGGAAAACAGCTGCTCAGAAGAGTTAAGAGGCCACATGGCATAGGACAAAGTAAAACTTAATACAGCCTTGACTTTCAGCTCCTGAAAGCAAAACATCTGAAGAGGCTGACAAGCACCTTTAGAGGCTACCACTGAGAGCTTCCTTGCTACTGGGCAAGAAAATTTGGACAGGTTAATTTCAGTCTTATTACAAAAAGAAAGGATATTGCCATTAGAAACCAGGCATGACATTACCGTGACCATCCCCACACAGTTTAACAGTTTATCAGCTGCTCACACCCCTCCTCCTTGTAGCAATCTCAATATATCCTTCTAAAGATGAGATTCCTCCCATGAGTTGGACATACCTGACAGCAGAGCAGCATGAGGAACTGCCCACCTCTGCCACACCAGGAGGTTGCAAGTTCATGTGCTAGAAAGCTAGGAGGAATTTTCAATCCAACTTCTATAGGTAAGTGCTGAAGACAATCACAGCTAAATAGAAACATCAATTTTTTTCCTACATTTAATGTTTTTCTACATTTAACTTATTAACAACTTTGGACACTTTTAAGATTCAGCTGGACAGGGTGCTGGGCCATCTTGTCTAGACCATGCTTTTGCCAAGAAAGGATGCACCAGATGATCCTTGAGATCCCTTCCAACCTGGTATTCTATGATTCTAGGATTTATGGGGAAAACTTGAAAGTACTGAAGTAGAAAGAAGGTAGGAAGGGAAAAAAAAAGAAGTCTAGACATCTTATTTCACTTAATGGATGTAATAGCTTAAGGCTTTCTGGGTCTTCTGTGCAGCTTGTTTAGAGAATGGCAGAGCTGACACTGGATTTGGTTCCAGCATCCATTTCATCAGGCAGCTTTGTCCACCTCACTTTTAACAGCAGATGGGCTGCAGAAAAATGGTTTTGGATGGGCCGCTGAAGTTGGGAGTTCTCCAGGGGTGAAAACATTATAGTGGTCCCTGCACTGAAAGGAAAGCTGAGTGACAGTGACAGCATCTCCATAGAAAAAATTGCCCCTCTTTTTTTTTTTTCCCCTGCCACTTCCTCTCCTTTCACCAGCTCACTCCGCTCTGCCCTAACACCGCTCCCTGCTCCAACAGGCTGACAGGTACAGAAAGAAGACTGGATCTTTAAGGAATGTTTCCTACTAAATCTCCTAATGGAGAGTAGGAAAGAGGCACCAGAGTGATTGTGAAAGTCTAACCCAGCACTGAGGACCCGGCACACTTCTGCTGGCTTTTTTTCCTGTTTTGATGAAGTCACATGGCTTATTGTAGTATTTACTTTGAAACAATTCTCTAAATTCAATACAGTGTCCTAGTGGAAAATGAGACATAATGGTTATTATTTAGCATTCTGAGAGTCCGAGACTGGAACCAGAAACGGTCTGGGACTGTGAGCTGGAAGACAAACTTTTTGGGTCAGAACTGATAAACAATTGGAACATGGAAGAGTGGAACCAGACTTTGCAGATGCTGGATTCCTTCCATGGACAAATAAGTAAATAACCCTAAAAGCAGCATCATTCACAAGCACCAGAACGGAGAAAGGTGTTGAGTTTGCTTGGAGGTGGATATTGAGTTTATCTGAAGGCAACGGAAAAACTTTCCAAAGGAGGACACATATGGAAAGCAGGTTTGTGTGTCCCTTCCCACACCAGGTAAGTGACAGCCACACGGTCCTTCAGCCAGGAGCTGGACCTTCCCATGACACATTCAACTGGGCTCATTGTTGACAAATCCCTACAGGGCTCTTGTTAGTGCTACCTTTCTGCTTTCACAATGAATATTGGTTTGAAGAACAGTAACTATGAAAAGCTATGAAATACCTTTTGATTCCTTTAAAAAAGCTTCTATAATTTCAACGGCATCTGCAGCATCCAGTAGTGTCTGAATCTTTCAGCAGATGATGCAGATACTTGATAGTGAGAGCTCCATTCTGGTTATTTTACAGTTTATACATAGGAAGATCAAGACACTTGATTAACTTATATCAGACTGTTAGTGTGGCAAATTCCACTGTGCTATTCTGAACAGAAGAAAATAGTAGATCTTCTGTAACAATGCTATTTCCTCTTGAAAGACCCAAATCTGGATGAGAAACTCAGTGGAGTGCCTTGCAAAAAACACTGGAGGGTAATCATACTGCTTATCCTAAGAGGCCCCAACAAGTTAACCCTAGAAAAACCCCAGCAGCTGAAAGCTCCTTCATCCCCACACAGTAACATCCAGTCATCCCAGCTTTCAGCAGAGGACTGCCAGGCACTCAATTCGAAGTCACAATTTCCAGACCCCTTTCTTCAGTAGCATTAGCACCAATGCCAGACCTCAAAAAAGAACCCATCCAAGTAACAAGAAAAATCCATCTCTGTTGCTGTGCAGTCCCACAGCAGAAGCTCCCACTCCTTCCGACAGCACCTTCTCCTAATCTGTGTTTTTAACAAAACATTGACTGAGTAAGTAGTGATGTACAATTAAAGCTGACCATATACCACAGCACGAAGTTGTTAGTCCCATATTCCTTCTCCTCCTAAGGCTACAGGAGTGGAGGAACACACACATTTTTATCCAGATGTACTTTTACACAGATGCTCCTCAGGGGGTGGTAGGTGTGGGTGGGTAAAAAACCCATGGAAAACCAGCACTGAAAACAACAGCCTCTGGTAGATTTGAGAATTTAGCCTAAAATCTTGAGATATTCAATCAAGACACCCTGAGCTACATAAGCTTTTAAAGCACCCTTTTAAATAAACTACTGAAGTTTCAGTCAAAAGCACTTAAGGACGCCTCTCCGTTTAAAGAGGATTCAGGAGAATGGCAGAGTGAGAGAGCACGCAGTTAAGTGATGTTACACAGTGGAAGGCAAGAACCAGGTTATGGACTACGCATAGTCCCCTCCTTGCATGCCTGTACACCATGCAGTGTTACTACAGCACGCGTTACAAGAGCTCAGAATCCAGAGGCAAGTTCCCATCAGTTCAAAATTAAAATGAACAGCACCATTAGAAAACTGAAGGTGGCCTGGGTCCCATGGAGGATCAAGGCAGAGGATTCCTCTGTGACTGGCTAAGGATGGACAGGCAGCGAGAAGAACCAGGACAGAAGAAGCCAGAATCTCTTTGGCTGGAGGAGCAGAATGGGGAGGAGGCTGCATTTATGGAGCAGTTTGTGAAGCAGCTGCTGGAAGAATTGACTTTGGGGAAGTTGGGTATTTGCACTGCTGACGCAGGATTCAGGAGGAAGGAAGAATGGAGGCAGCAGGAGTAGCTTCCATGGCCAGCACCAGCAGTGGAAATGCTCCAAGCAGCTAGCAGTGGAAAGCAAGGATGGGAAAAAATAATTTATTTATATATATATATATATATGTGTGTATATATATGTGTGTATATATATATAAAAGAAGAAAAGATCTTCACTGCTTGTCTAATTTAAAATTAAAAAAAAAAAAAAAAAAAAAAAAAGAAGGAACAGAGAAAGGTAAAATAAAAAGAGAGGAGAGAAGCACCAGTCACAAAGAGTTCACAAGGTTTTTTTTTTCCTCCTTCCCCCAGCGTCACTGCTCTGGCTCTGACCTTCGGGGCCGGAATCTCCGATGGCCCATTGATTTCCGCGTGGCCACTGCTGCGGTGAAGCACACCAAGCAGCACAAGGACGTGGTGCCAAATTTGGTTGTGTCCAGCCAGTTGGGTGTTTCTGTCTTCAGGTACGTCTCAGCTAAATGCAGACTCATCACTATGAACCACAAGACTGAAGCAAACGCATCAATTCTCCGGAGCCTGCAATGCCAGAAAGAAACCAAGAAAGACACAAGGTAAGATTTTAAATGCCAATGGACCTGAGGAAGAAGAGGGAAGGTGGAGAGGATACAAAGACTGAGCAAGTTATGTACTATCTCTTACTACAGTTATATCATCTGCAGCTCTTCCCACTGCTGCGGTAAGTACCTGAATAGATCAGTTCCATTTTCTACCACATTACAGAACTGCACAGGGAGCTTTTCATTCACAGTAACTCAAGCTTAAATTGAATGAACCAAGGCACAGATCCAACCGAGGCTCAGATGGAGTAAGCTCTGCTGTCTCCAGCCAGCCAGCTTGCAACGCAAAGAACAACAAGAACTGTGCCACCCAGTACTACCTGTGCCATGCCAGCAAATGTTTACCCCCGGCTCACTGAGTTAAGACAGGGCAAAAGACCTCCAACATAATGCAGTTTTCCTTCAAGTGAAACAGAAGAAAAGAGCATACCCACCTGATCCGCCCAGCTAAGAACATGGCCAACAGGCAGGTGAACAGCCCAAGGACAGCAACTGCCATCTGGTGATTCTTCCCGTAAGCCCATGCAGCACGCAGGTTCTCCACCATCTGCTCCGGGAGCAGGCGGAGCAGCTCCCGCCAGCCCGCCACCGTCACAGAAGTGTCATTTTCCAAGTCTGTGTGTGAGCTTGTGCCAGTCCTGTTCCAAATGGATGCTGGACCAGAGGAGACAGGAGCAGGGACTGCTGCACTGAGTGAGAAGGGGTTGCCTGACCCATACAAGGCCATGAGAACCAGGAACACACAGCTGAGGAAGGCCAAGAACCGCAGAAGTATCACCTGAGCTGGTGCGGTTATGGAAGCAGAAGAGGAAGTTGAACATAAATTCTGCAGAGGAAGGGAAAAGCACCTTGTCAGAAGCTGAACAAACTGTAGTAAGGTTTTGAAATGGTGCTTTATGAAACACTTCCAGACCGTACAGTTTACTGGACAGCTTTGCTTAAGTTCCTGAAAGTTTCTGTATTGGGCTGACACCACGTGGGATGTTGTAGACTAGCAAAGAGCAGAAGCAGAGCTATGAGCCAAAGCCAAGGCCAGGCAATGCAGTGAGGCAAGGAGAAGGTCATAATTCACTTCCCATTGTTCTTACTTCTTTTTTCCCCCTGTACTCTGTAGTTTCCTGTACTGTACTCATAAACTGGCTTTCCTACCTCCCCTTTTCTGCCTGTCCCACTACTTTCCTTCCACTCTGTTCTTATTATTACATTAGACTTCTGGCAATTGCATTGAGTGACACCAGCAAGAGGAAAATCTCAAACTAACATCAGAAGCACCTGTGGCAACTATCCTATGCTATTCTAAACTTCTGCCATGCGCCCAAGCTCCCAGGATTAGAGACCCCCAAAGCCACTGCCTCCCCTCTTCCCAGCAGCAAACCCAGGTGTAGAGGTACCTAGTTCACTGCGCTTCCCCCTAAATTCCCTCATCTCTGCCCCCATGTACCTGAGAATAGGTCTTGTCTGTCTCACGGCGTTTGAAATGGTGGCTGAGCAGCAGCGCCCGGAGCTGCCGATTCTGATGTTTTATGTAATACTCCACCGCAGCCTGGCACGGACGGCACAGCTTGTAGGTCTGCTCCAGATGGTGCTTATACACCTCAATCTCCTCATCATATTTGCCCTGGTGAGAGAAAAGGAGAGGAAAAGCAGGTGAGAACTGCAGGTCCCTCGCCAGTTATCATGCTTGCTATGGACATGCGAGCAAGGCATGCTCCCAGTCTCCATGGATCAGCCCCCTGAAACCAGGCCTGAATAGTGACCAAGCTGGAGGTCAGCCATACAACCAACCACACATACAGCTGACCCAGCCTCCACATCCCAGAAGTGACAAAACAGCCCTTGGAGAAGGCTGCTGTGGCCCAGTTTCAGAATGCTGAATTTCTGTGGCCCAATTTTTCTGTTTTGGTCGAGACCTTATGAACTCAACACAGATGATGAGACACAAAAACTAGAATTGCTCTTCCCCTCCTCAAATGAAGGGACACAAAAGACCTGTTGTCCCTTCAATACAACTATGCTGGAGAAAGAGACAAACTTCTCCCAAAACTCAGCCCCAGCCTCGAAGGCTGTCACTGTTTGAAGGGCCTGGTGAGATGAGCTCCATAAATCAGCACTTGTAAAAATAGACAGTGGGGTACGGCCAAAGGCATGTTTTTCAACGCCACTACAGTGGGGACATCACTTATCACAGAGGCTTCTAGGGCCCTTCCATCTCCACTCCCTGCCTCTATCAGGATTCTCGTACCAAAGCATACAGCTGAAAGCACGCAGCTTCTTTGGGAGAGGGAAGTAGGAAGATGTACTGTAGCTGTCTGAGGGCTTGCTGCCGCAGTTCCATAGGCTCCATCTGCCGGAATCGAGAAGGAATGACATGGGAGAGACCAGCAGCAGCAGGCTCATACCTCACTGGGCAGGTCAGCAATGCTGAGAGAGGCCACTGCGGTCACTAACACACATATCTAACTATGTGAGATAACAGAGTCCCATGTTTCTCAACTGGCACCAACGCTGCAGTTCACTGAATGCCTAAAAAGGGGCCAAAGGCTGGTGTGACTTGAGCAAGTGGATAGGTCTGGCAAGAGGCAGGGACTAGAAATAAAGCTGAGAAAAGGGAATCAGCCGAAGATGTTCTCATTAAGCATGATCAAATTTAAACCCGTTCCCTAGGAATCTTCCAGATTTAACTCATTAAAATTACACAAAACGGACTGGATTAGGCAACACAGAGGATGAATGTATCCCACTACAGCGCAGTCTTAAAACCCCAAGGCTTGACCAGGGACTAAATTCTCCACATGAAACTTTGGGGAGCCATATAACTGTGAAGGAGAAACTCTGTATCCTACCCTCCATGGATATTAAGTAATGGGAAGGCCAAGAAGCTGCTCAGCAGGAAATTCTGCTGCTGTAACTGTAAAATCCCTTTGTCTTCCTAGGCACAAACACCTAACCAGGGAGATGACGTGGCTGCTCAAGATTTCTCTCCCACTCCACTAGTAAAAGCAGAGCAAGACAGCCAAGGCCTCAGGAAAAACAAAATCTGTTAAGGCTTCAAGGTAACTAGTGGTCTGTTATATCTACCAGATCCTGTAACCTCACCTGGGTCAATGGTAAGTACTGGAGTTGTAACCTGATCTCAGCAATGTGCATGTCTGGTTTTGGGCTCAAGCTTCAACTATCAGTGTCCATCTAGAACTGGTCATTACATTCTGGCCTTGGAGTAGGATTAGCTAAATTTGCAACACTAATCAGTAACCTTCTTTGCACTGGAGTGCCACACTGTTTCTGAAGACTATTGGAACATCGCTCCATAGCACACTGAAAAAATCCTCTCTCCTTCTTACTAGGCTGCAGCATGGAACTAAACAGAGCAGGAATAGCAGATACATGCATGGGAATGCCTTGGTCATTCTCTTGTGATGCCAGTCCCTAACAAACACTTACCTCCTCCCTTGGTGAGAATGAAGCCAGCTGTTTGATCTTTGTAGTTTGATGGTTGTTGCATTTCTTGCAAAGCAGAATTTGGCTGTTCACCCACTGTTGTGGTTTGGTAGGATCACAAAAAGTCGTACCACCCGACACGACATGGTTCAGGTGTTCCATGTACTGCGCAGGGATAGGCTTATTGTAGTCTCCGTTCTGACAAGAAGCAAAAAAGGGAGGCAGGAGGGAAAGCAAACATGAGATTATAAAATCAAAGCTAGGTACCTCTGGTTGATAACAAGATTCCCTAAGCTCTGTCAGGAGCTCTACACTCCATGCATTCACCTATGTAACAAAAGAAATAAGTTAAAAAAAAAAGATGAAATGCTTCAAATCCCCTCCACTGTTCTGTTAACCTATTGCAAGCAGCTGGTGGTGGTGGATTTTGGCTTAAGCCAGGCTTTGTTACTTAAATGCCCTAAATACAGCAATTCAGCTGTTCCAAAATACAAAACCAGAGAAGAATTCTTCCATATATTTTTAAAAAGATTCTTAAGAGATACTGGTGTAAATTTGTCTTTGTAAGTGCTCAGCACAGAGCTGCCAGCTGTCAAACTGCTGGATATTCACCTGCACTGGGCCTGTATCATCTCAAATGAGGAGCAGGGTTTTCCCGCAAGCACTGTTCCCCAGGGCACGTACCTTCCCAGCCACCCGTCAAGCAATTTGTCACAGTACCTCTTGGAACCCATTGTACTGCTCACAGTTGGGGCAGTCCCAGCAGTTGCGATTCCCATATGGCACTACCGTGTCCTGATTGCAGAACCAGCAGTTCACTGTCACGTGTGTGGGCTTCTTCCTGTTAAGAAAGGTAACGTGTCAGGCAAGAGCACGGAATTCAGCTGATGTAGAGGAAAGCAATGGCTCTCAAGGAAATGCAAGAGAGGCTGGAATTACAATCAATCTTCTCACTTGGTATGTTCAATGATATGACTCAGAGTGGTCATTTTCACAATGAAAAGGTGGACTATTAAAATAGAAATAAATTCTGCCTGATGCTCCTATCTCTTTGTGCTAGTATCAAGGACACACCAGAACTTTAGTAACAACCTTGTGAATAACCCACTTCATTGTTTTTCAGAGGCACATTTGGGGGGTGCAAGTACTCTGCATAATCAGCAGTGTTCATATATGCAAAGGGTGCAGTAAAGTCACTACTTAATACACAAGATTCTGGGAAACAGAAGTTACAATCCGCAAGAACTGCATGTGTCGGTACTCGGAAACCGAGGAAATGGGCTCGTGGTTAGGGTTTTATCTGCTCTGCTCATTAGAAAATTTTTCAAGGACAAGGGCACATCAAATTACCCCAAGATTCAGGCACTCTAAATAGCTGTTCCTTCACAGCTTTAGATACAGAAGGAACTGAGGAATCATCACGTCTTGCCCCGTTTTTGTGCACTGGGACTGAAGAGACAGACTAATGACCTGGATCCATGAGCCCCTTGTTTTTTAAAACAGTCCTGTTAAAACAACAGTCACTACAAGAGAAACAGCTGTGACACAGGCCCATTTCAACAGATGTTTGAGCAAAGAACTTCAGCAGCCTGGCCTTTGAGCCTGCCTACTAAAGAAGGTCTGCATTTGTCTTGCAACTCAGTGCAATACCCAAGAAGAAGCGTCCTGGCAGGTCAAGGGAACACAGCCCAGCTGTCTGGGTTTACCGTGACCTGTCCCAGTCACAAGTCCAAGGGAGGGCAGCACTTCAGGCAAAGCCCAGGCAGGGACTTGCTATGGCAGCTATGCAGGCAGATGGACCCAGCTGCATCAACCCTGTTTGCTGCTGGACTCCACCAAGGAGTCAGCATGCCTCCCCCGGGGCAGCTTCTGCGGCAGCAGTGAAGGCAACTGAGCAGAGAGGCTCACAGAAGGGCTGGAAAGCAAGTAACGGGAGCCAAAGCGCTCACCAGTTGAAAGCAACTTCTCTTCTTCCCATTCTAGATGTTCTCTGCTGCTACAGTATTCTGTAGCAAAACATCATCTGAATGCTGCAGAAATGTCTGGCACCCTGCAACCAAACAGGCAGGTGGCTCTCCCTCTAGTTTACTTAAGCTGGTTTCCTTCTCAGCCATCACCTTTGTAACAGGATGCCTACAATTAAGATTCTTCCCCACTCCCATTTCCATAGATCATGTCTTGGAACTGGGCTCATAAAATATCAAACCCTCAAGTGGTGCTTGGGCATCCTGTTTAAGTACTAATGACAAAGATAAGCCTGAAATGAAGCACCAGAAAGCAGCCTAAAAAGCCAGAGTGCACAAAGGATTCCCTGCCAGACGCTGAAAGAACATGGCTGGAGCTACTAGGGTGACAGATTCTCATCTCAAAATAGATGAATACACCCACACCCCTCCTAATATGAATATTCACTGCTCAACTTTCTTCACTGCCAAAGGGGCTCAATACAGTAAGCGATCCGAGTTAAAAATACCACCATTGAAACCGACAGGCAAAAAAAAGCTTAAACCAGACAGAAATCTAGTCCAAGTTATCCATGAGCTACCACTGTCCAAAAGCCAAGCAAACCACACATCAAAACAGCCACAGGAAGGATAGAAACACTTGCTGGTACTAGTTTCATCTCATCGTCATAGGTGTAAAAGCTATGAAAATATAACCCATAGGCTTCAGCATGTTAGCCACCAAAATACAAATCCTACTGCACCTTGAGCATAGACTTTGATAGCAAGCACGACTTAAACTCCATGCTCTGATGTAGGCTATTGCACAGGTCCCTGGGACTGTAGAAAGTGCTATAATCCCACCTTCGTGCTGCTGTGGCACCATCCTCTGGCACCCACAGAAATAAAATGTGCCACACTTCAGGCTCTACCTACCACCAGCCTCCAACTTCCATGACATGACAGAGTAGGTAGAAGCACTAATTTCAAGAATAACACAAGCACAGGCCAAAAAATTAGTAAAGTACACATGCTATAAAGCAAAAAAAGAACCAATGCCAAGCCGTATTTGAGACCTTGCTATCAGAGACCAAATCCTGAGTATACTTGAGACCTTTTACAAACAGGATTCCATTGCTCACTCTTCAGGCTGAGGAAGTGCTACCAAGGGTTGAATAGCAGCCCTTCATTCTCACAATGTATGCAACAGAAATTGTTAAATTCTGAATTATTTAGGCTAAAAAGCAATAATCCTTCCTTTTGTGAACCTATAATCTGTTGCCATAGAAATAGGTGCAAAAATATCAGATGTTCCCAACCTGCCGGATGCAAAAAGAAGGAAAAGAAAAAAGGTCATTTCAGGCAAGAACATGTAGGTAGGGTGCTAATTTTCTAGTAATTGGCCAGGACTTTAAAACCAAAAAACAAGTACTGCATTTGGAAAGACTCTCAAATAGGGATTTAATGGCTTTGGAACTATATATATCTTGATTGAATTCAGGCAGCAGGTGAAAGTAATAAACTAGAGCACACATTGCTTCTGAAGTCAGACATTCTGTTATGAGGAGACAGACAATGCAAAACGAAGCATTTACCCTGTGTTCAATCCCTTGCAAAACACTAAGCAAATCACTCCTAAGGAGTTTATAATCTAACACTGGATTAACTTGAACTGGCTTCACTGAACACCTTGCAAAATAAAACCTGAGCAACAAGAAGTGATTGAATTACTGCATCAAGAGACTCCATTAACAGCTGATTTGCTGAGCTAACTCAATATGTAGCCTGCACACCCAAACAAGCTAGAAAAAATTCCCAGGTTTGGACAAATTGTTTTGCAAATAGAAGATCTTCACTTAACATAACACTGGGGGGACATACCTGGAACAAACTCAGTTATGAGATCAACACCTAAATGTCTGATACCACTCAGACAATATGACAAAATGTTCTTTTTTGAGAGGCTATCAGACTCCCTTATTTTGCTAACAAAAATCAGACTGTGGGTATACCCATTGACAAACACTGTTTAGCAGTGAGTTTGTCTCTCTCATGTCATGTAAGAAGGAAGTTGCATTCTTTCAAACTCCCACCACTATCCACTATTCCTCATATACACAAAGACTTAAGGTCATGCTTTAAGCCCCCACTTTGAATGGATTGCCAGAATAACAGTCTCCCTGATAAGCACGAGTCAAATCAGTTACCTGATAATAATAAACTGGATTTGTAACTATTTTTATTTACATCTATTCCCTCCTCCTTTACTACTAAGTTAGGACATTAAGATGTCTGATTGTCCATATTCTTAAGACAGGCCACAGATGGATGTGCAGCTCTTCACTGGGTTACCCTCATCCTCTGCCAAGGATTAAAAGGAAAAAAAAACAATTCTCCACTAAAAGTGTTTAAAGCAACACTTCATTCTGGCACAACTGGATTACAAAGCAATTATACAAACGACTATGTCAGCAGATCTGAAGGAAAAAACACACTAGAAAGAGGAGCTCTTTTGCACAGATCAGTTTTGATCAGAACATCTGATGGCAGCTTGACATAGCCAAGCTGCCAAAGCTCCAAGGTATAGACCAAGCCCGTGGCACAGTATTGTCAGCATGGCCGAGTGAAGAGGAGCTCAGGAGCTCATTGAACCCGAGAGCATGTTCAGCGCTCAGTCAGTGAAGCTCCTGGGTGGCAGCTCACTGAGCTGCTGTAATTCCAAATTGCGACCACATCCATCACCAGTCAAGAAAGGGATCTGCCAGTGCAGACCCAATGCTAAACCCCATTTTCTAAGGTGAGAAAAACACATCACAGCTGTCTAGAGTCCAGCAGGCAAACTACATCATAGATTCATTTGCTCGGTACTAGCAGTTATAGACAGGGCTGAAGATTTAGCAACAAGACCAGTTTTCTAGTACAGTGTCACAGGTTACAATTCAGTCTATCCTTTCCCAAGAGCCAGACATAGTGTCCCCTTAACAAAGAAAAAGGTGTCCAGCGGATAGGCAGGGACACAGATGCACAACCATAACCACCTCCTGTGCTGTCCCCCATGAAACTGCAGCTTCACCAACTTTTAGTGCTCTGGAGAATACCTGCCATCAGGACAGGATCCTTCAGAAAAGGCGCCTCTTTTTGCCATCTCAGTATCTATAACAGGCTTCTCAACTAAATGCACTAGCTGCACAGCAGTTCCTGAGTTGCTACTGGTGTCTTTTGGAGTGAGTGACAGATTATCTTGACTTGTAGAAGGAGCAGCCTATGCCATCATCGACCCAGAGAGTCCCCAAAAAACAGAGATCCTCATGGGGTACCCTATATCATTACTGACAAAAAGTCAGTAGCCAACAATCAGGAGGGGTACAGATGAAGGAAATGTGGCTACAGCTGTTGGTCGGAACTCAGCAACCCGACTTCCAACAATATGAAACAAACAAGTAGCCATTACTATGTCAGTATATGGAGTTGCATTACTGTGATCTCAAAGCAGGACCACAAAACATATCAGAGCTTTCCTATCCGTCCCAAACTCATAAGGTTTAAGGAGTTCCTGTGCATATCTGGACATCAAATCTTTTTTCTCTCCAATACAAAAGGCACAGTTCCAGTAGTGCAACTCCATATACTGACAGTTATTCCAGAACTACTTTCCAATAGGTTGTTCTGATGGATTTTATTTCCCTTTTTACAGTGGGTGGTAAAGGCATCTTGCTAGATATGTAAGTGCACTCATGCTGGAAATGAAGCAAAACAGGGCTGTATCGTAACATTAACACCAAAGGCAAAGGCAGCATCACGTCTGTGTCAGGATCAGTCACTTATAAAGCTGTCCTCCTTGATAACTTTGGAAGGTTCATTTAACTAAGGCAAAGTAAGAAATTAGGTAGTAACAAAATACTATTGAGAAACGCAAATACGTAGCCCCAAAGAATCATTGAGGTCACCTCCTGAAAATACTTACAGCTCACCAGCAGTTTTCAATGACTTGGGAAGAAATGCTTTCCATTCCAGAGAACTTCTGATGAACTTAAGCAGAACAAATCCAATCTCTTCACTGAAAAGATATGTTAGCCTCAACTGGGTCAAAGAAATGCTGCCTTCTTCACTGGGGATTGCTTCAGGCCACTAGTATTCCTTAGCTGCCCTAAATATGCCACAGAAATGCCTACTCTTTGTATACAGGTTAATATAGCACCTACCATTTGTAGGGTGATGTAAACGGAAAATACTTCAGAGCAAACCTTAAGTAGTTTATTATGGATGTAGAAATACGCTTCTATTTCAAAGTGCAAACCTGAAGTGAACTGCAACACAATGAGCCCTTGGGACCGCCTTTCCCTCCAAGAGCAGCAGTCAATAGATGAGCAGGCTGCTCAAGTCTGTTCCATCATAGTCAAGAGTGCCTTTTATTGCATATATTCCTGCATTCATTTCAAGCTGCGCTAGATTAAAATTGGTCAAATTAAGCTCTACTCTTTTTATGAAATCTGTATCCTGACTTTGCTCCTGACGCTTTTCAAACCTTGTTTTCAATTGGTCTGTTTAAATTTGTCCTAAGGTCAGAGACATTTCGTGCAATTAAGAAACAAATGACCAATGAATTTCGATCAATGAATTTCGATCACTAGTAACTTGGACTTCTATGTCCCAAGTTTCAGCACGGCCCTAACAGGGCTGTTATCTCTGCGGCACTCTCCCTATTCCCCCTGCAATCATGCTTTCACCTCCAAACCAACACAAACAGCAAAACACTGTCTTTCCCGGCCTCTACCAGGCCAGTAAACAAAAGAGAAAATCCCCGAGTCTCCAGCAGCCTCTGCAGTACCGCTAGCAACAACCGCAGCCTCTCGACTACGGACCGGAGGAAGGGGAAGGTTTTACCTTCCCCAAGCGCAGCTCCCACAGCAAACGAGCCCTGGCTGCGCAGCGCTGCCACACAAAGACACGAAGCAATTCCAGGCGAAGCGGAGAAAACGCAACCAGCCGTTTTAACCGACGCGTGTTTGCCGCCGCTGACAATTCGGGGGGGAGGGGGGGGAAACACCCTTTCCCCAACGCCCGCCTCACCGCCGCAGAGACAAACCCGAGCTTCGGGAGCCCCACGCTTGCCCGCGGCCCTGCCCGGGATCCCCCACACCCCGCCGAAGGTGGCGCCAGGAGGGCGATCCCCGAGCGGAGCCTTCCCGCCGCCGCGGCCCGCGCCCGCCCGGCCATTACCCGCCGCCCCGGCCCAGCCCGGCCCCGCCCGGCCCCTACCTCCGCGCCATGCGGTAGAGCAGCAGCCCGACGGCGGCGGCGCAGACGGTGACTCCCAGCCCGCCGGCGGGGCAGCGGGCCAGCAGCGCGCCGGCTCCCTCCATACCGTTCCCCCAGAGCGGGGCCGTTGGCGGGTAATCGGCGGCGGCGGCGCTTTGTACGCCGCGCGGGCACCGCCCCTCCCCCCCCCACCGCTCCGCCCCTCAGCCGCGGCGGGGGCGGCCGCCGTTGAGTCACGGCGCGGGGAGCGCGGCGTGAAAGGCCGGAGTCGTGCGGCGGGGCCGTGAGTCAGCGCCGCAAAGGCCGAGATCGTGGCCGCGGGGGCGGCCCGCCGGGCTCCCTGCCCTTACGGGGAGCGGGGGGAGGGAGGGAGGCCCGGCCTGCCTGGCCTGCCGCCCTGTTCAACCAGATTTTTTATTCCCCCCCCCCCCCGCCCCCCTAAATTTAGACGCGGGACTTCATTACAAAAGCAGCTCCGTCCCCGGTGAAGGGTGACTGTAGCAGGCCCAAGCCTGAGGAAAAGGCTTTTAAAAACATCTCCCCCAGGCCCGCTGGCACAACTGGAACTGGGAACAGCAGGGTCTACCACTGGGCAGAGAACATGCAGTTAAATTTAATGTGCATTTTTGAGGAAAAGGGAGAGCTGTTTGTAGAATTACATAAATGAGACAGGGGCAGAGGAAGAAGAGACAGTTCCCAGAGAATAGACTTTCTCTCAGGATGCACTTTCCTATCAAACCACCTAGTTGCCTGAGCAAAATGGAAGACCCCTCCAATTACACTACCATACCCTCCTCCCCAGTGACTTTAGAGCACAGGTTATCCCCCTTTTGCAGTCCCTGATCGACTTTACCCAGTAAGCCAGGTGCTGCTTACACCTCACTTCACTCAAGGGATAGTTTGGCAAGGGGAGCAGGTATTAAAGTACATACAGAGCTCTGTGAGCAGTTTGTTACCTGTGAGCCAGAAGCTGAAGGCTGCTGCTCTAGACTTTCCCTCCCTCTGGATAGATTGATAAACAACACAATTTTGCAGACAGCCCTCAGGTACTCCGATGGGAGCAGTTCCTGGGTCAGACTTGATCAGAAACCCTAGAAAGCAAAGTAACACCCGTTTACACTCTGCCCCTCTCAGGACACACGGGTGGGATGTACTGTTGATACAGAATGGGAAGCAGCTGGTGGTTTGTCAGTCATGCCCTGCTTTTACATGTAGGTAAGAGGCAAGACCTCTCCAAAATACGAGACCAACCCTGCCTCAAATTGCATACCTGTGCTCCTGGTTAAAGCAAAAAAACCTCTCAGCACAATGACAGAACTGCTTAAAATTCAAGAGAACCAAGTTGTGTCAACATCATGTTTTTTGAAAGTCACAAATGGAAAAGGTTTTCATAGGCAAATATTTGTACTGGAAGTAAGCTGTACTTTGAAGCTTAACTGTGGTTGGGGTCTTAACTATTCTGATTCAATATTCACAGATTTAACCATGGAAATCCATTCTATGGAATAAGTGACCTGTTCCTCTTGATAAATGAGGGGGGCATGATTTTTTCATCTCCCTTGTTTAGTGCAATTACTTAGGGTTTGTTTTATGAGACCAAAATGATAGGGAAAGGAGGAAGAAAAACCCAGTCTTGGCACATTGAGCCCTTCTGCAAGTCCTCCAGGACTTCTGTTCTTGAGAGCTTGTCTATTTTTATACCTAAGTCCATTCCTTCTTATCAACTGTATCTGTAGTATCAGTCCAACCACAGATGCATTGTTTACCAAGTTTCCTCCTGACAGGAGCTCATGAGGAACTTGTGCAAAACGACTATAAATCACAGTGAGGGACACAATCACAGTAAAGCAGGTATCACAACCATCAGTAAACACAGATAATTTTGAGGGATACCAAGGCAACCACGGATACCTAAAGGGAGGCAGTAAGTCTTATAGCATAAGGACTTGAGGCATCTACATATACCTAAGGAATGCTTCAAAGCTAACTTAACCAACATGAGTAGCTCATGCTGTTGTAGCAAATAACACACACAGTGTGTTTATAGTTTCAATTTAACTGTTAATTTAAGAATGGGAACAGACTTGGTCTTGGTAAAGTTAAAGGAAACTTTCTGGTCACGTCAGATACGACCATAGTTTCATCACCCTCCTGATAATTAAGCCACAAAGGGTCTAGTAATGAAGCCTAAACCTGGAGGGAAACTGCCCAGGAAATTATAACCAGTAACATTTACCTACCTTCCACGAAAATGACTGTGGAAGTGGAATGAACCGTGAAAAATGCTTTTAGTTTTTCTTTCACAACCAGAGCAAGGTTGGTTATTTTTAAATTCAGACATCCCTTTGCAAAAAAACTACTTCAAATTCTTCCCTCTGGTAATAGGCTTATTCCATACTAAGTGACATCAATGGGATTGCTCACAGAGCATCACCTAAAAATGTCAATTCTTTACAGGGTTAAGGAATCAAGGGTTAGTGAATTTTAAAATTCTAGGAGAGAGGAAGGAAAAAGGAGTAAATTATACTAATTCAGAAATTCTGTTAGCTCCCAATATAGCTTATTAACTCTCTATCAAATTATGACTAATTAATTCTGTGAGGGTTGTTTGCAAAACTTAAAGAACAAAACCAGAAATCCAGCAGAATTTCCAATTTTCCATCAGATTTAGGCAGAATAAAAATTTGTTCACTTTCTCTTGCTTTCTCTCTTACCAAGTCCCAAACTCCTCAAATGGGTTTGAGTTCCCTCCCCTCATTCTCAAGATACCAGCAGTCTACACATTTGACTAACTTTTTAGAAGTGAGCCAGTATACTGTTAGTACAGAGGAATACTAATTTAAGAAAGCAAATCTCAGGAAATCTTTCAAAGTAGCAGCACAAGTGTCCTAGTTCTCAAAAATAGAAACAGCACTGTATGACAGTTTTGACTCCTGTAAGACTAAAGCTTTTGCTGCTCATCGTCTCCACAAAAAAAAACATGCCAGTTTTCAGTTACTCAACTGTTTCCTATTTTAGCTTAGAGGTAACATGATATATTATTTTCAGTATACTGTAATAGAAATCAGTTATTTTTGCAGTTTTGCCTCATAATGAGGTATATACACATTCTACTCTCTTTGCACTATGCTCCTCCATCACACTGATGTCAAACATAACCTCAAGTACCACTCATCGGCTAGGTTCTAATGAGAACAAACATGAAGGTTTGAATCCAGTTATTGACCCGTTATATTTCTGCAACAAAATACTAGCCTGAAAACTTTATCTTATAAAAGACAGCCCTACTCACTACTAGGCTGATTTTTAATGCTTTACATCATCCTTCTAAGTCCAAACGCCACCTCAGCAGTATATGGTCCTTGAAGTCAAAGATGTCCGCAAACACTTGTTACGCTCAAGAACTCGACACCTGCTCAAATCATGAGAAGCTCATTGTTCAGCTCAACAGTAGGGAAGACTGAAGCTTGGCTCAAATGCTGTAGTGTTTGTCTCAGCTGCCAAAGCAAATGACACTAATGAATAGGAGAACACAGTATGGCCAAAGCAAAACACAAATCTACTCATTTGAGTTCTAAAATGTTTTATCCTGCACTATCAGTAATTATTCATTTACAGTACTTTAATCTCAAGGTACTCCTCTAATACAAGTGGTAAAGAGACTACTAAAATTATGTTCTAATATTTATGAAAGGATTAATCTCAAGTATGCAGGATATTTGTTTTTTAACTGAATGGTAAGAACTGTATCATGACTACTGTTGGAGAATACCCCTTTGATATTTTGTCTTTGACAGGGAAGGCAGATACCTACATGAAACATGAGCCCGTTCGACAGGCTGCACTAAGCTGGCGAATCCCTATTTCCTTCAGTAAGAAATCAAGTAATGACATAAAAAACCCTATTTACATAGGCTGTGGATTTTTTTGGTGTTAACTCCAGTGATGTGTCCATGAGACAACATAGTATCTCATTTCCATCAGAAGCACTGCTCTACAAGAACATCAAATCAAGAGAGACATATTCCTGAGTATCATACTATAAAGCAGAATCCAGAACTGAATTTATAGTCTATAGTGTTTGGACCCTATCTTACCCTCTCTTCCACTCTCCAGACCCCTAGCTTTGAAATATAAGGAAAATGTAACAAAAACAAGCCCCATAGTAGTAAAAGGCTGAGGCCAGAACACATGACCAAGTTACTGCACCTCCTGGAATTTCCACAGGGCAGCCAGGCCACAATCACCAACTGTCTTTATGCTCTCAGTCCTTCACAAAAGCAAGGTCTAAAAGCCAAGTCATAACAGAACTGGTTACACACACTAGCATAAGTATGTATCCCAAATGCACACGTACACAAAGTATTGTAATTATTTTGTTACTGAAAGCCTCCTACAAGCATACTCCAGCAATATTGCCAGTGTAAGTGGCTTTTCTAAGAGATACTGGTGTGCATGTTTCATACCATCAGAACAGACAAATCTACTACAAGATTGTCCTACTTGAGCACTCCAGGATGTTCACACAGCAATGAATGATGCACCTTGAAGAAACCAGAAGATCTCTCAAAGTTATTTGGGCATTAGGCTATTACAGTACTAAAAGGTGACAAGACTCCAGCGGTAAGAAGACAGAGTTTCAAATTTCCAAACCAGTTCTTCTGTTTGAATACAGTTTTAATGAACATGAGTCCAAGAGATCACTTGATAGTATGAGGTACATTCCTTGACCACATATGGCTGTGCTTAAGGAAAAGGACAAACATATACTTAAATTAAATAGTGTAAATTAATTTAGTAGCAGTTTAATTATCATTAAGTTAAAAAACAAGTTGTAATTAACTATTAACGTTAATGACTTGAGACCTTTCAGAAAGCATGAATCCAAAAGGAAATATCCAGCAGGTGGTCACAGACTTGTAGTTTTTCCACCAGCGCTGCCACCTGCATCAGTCTCTTAAAGGACTATTTGTTCAACGAAGAAATTGGTCTACAGTCTGTAACAGGAGTCTCGGCTCTGCTACTTTGCACGGTCTTCTAACAGATACACAATTAACTCATAGGTAGACAACACAATGGCTGTGTTTGGTATCTGCCGGATGAGTTGGGCAAAGAGTCCTCTATAGAAGGCGAGATAGCCTTCTTCACGTGCTACCAGACGTGCTGTCTGAATCAAAGTCTTGTATTTAGTGCCTTCTTCTCGC